ATTCACTTTTGCAAGGATCGAACATGGCAAAAATGGCTACTGGTTCTGTTTGGCACTTACAGACACGGGTGGTGCACAAACCGTCTCTGACCGTCGTCTAGAATCTAGATTATAAATATTGATCCTGAGCGTCCTTCAGTCTCGAGTGCACTCAAGGACTCCCTCTTGTCCGGCATTTCTATACCAGGCGAGTCGAGGGGGATTCCTCGTGGTGAAATTGAAATCGGAGAGGTTCCTCGTATCCACTCCAACAGAAGAAGAATCAGAGTCGTGCGAGTAAATTAAAAACTTAGGCTATCTAGTTTCAGCAAACTACGTCTCTTCTACGCAGAGACGTCGGCACAGGTCCTACGCGTTCGCGAGGACTGTGTTCAATAACGTGTAGACAGTTAGAAACAGGACCAACTGTTGAATCGGGAAGAGAATACGAATAGCATAAAATAATAGATAAGAATGAGAGAGAGAGAGAGAGAGAGAGAGAGAGAGAGAGAGAGAGAGAGAGAGAGAGGGTAAGTAATTAGATACCCAATTATTGACGCCCAATTATCGTGATCCCTCTTAGTCTTTAATATTCTAGTCATCAATAATCTAGAAAAATTTGATTTTTCTTGCGACCAGTAGCGATTGTCCACAGTTTTAGTTACAAAGTTCTCTTTTGAGATTATTGAGCACAAAGCAAGAAGTTTAACTGCAATGCTGATCTCATGAAAAACCAGGTTAGTGACTAAAAGGATATCAATAATTGGATATTTCATCCTACTGTATAGCGTAACCAAACCCTATAAATCTCTCAACCACAATATTCATTCTGCACAATATTCATTCTGCAACCACAACAAAGAGACAACAATGATATTTATGATATTTTAGATTTTCACGGTATAGTGAAATGTTTGGTCTGACCAGCGGGTTGGTGCTACGTCCTTCATGGATTTGTTTTCGACGTTTCCTGAGCATTCCAGTTTGTTTCTGAAGTAGAACTTCTTCAGCAGAAGAACGACTAGACTGACTAGTCAAACTAGACTAGTCAAACCAGACTAGTCAAACCAGACTAGGAGTTTCAGGTCATTCCTCTACAGAAGAAATCCCCGGAACAAATAAACTGGAATGTTCAGGAAACGTCGAAAACAAATGAAGGACACGGATCAATCCGGAAGTCGGACTAAGACAGTAATATTCTTTTGAAGTTGAGGCAATTAGGCAGACACCTAATTACTAACCCCCCTTAGTTATTAACACTCTAGAAAAGTTTGATTTTTCTTGCGACCATTGGCGGTTGTTTACAATTGTAGTTGTAAAGTTCTCTTTTGGAATTGAATGCAGAAGAATTCAACAAGTTCAATTGATGGTCGCATAAAAGATCAGGTTTTAATGGTAGTAATTAAGAGGATGTCAGTATATTTTATCCTAGATCTGAATAAGACAAGAATAATAGGCAAGATGTGTAATATCATGTAAAAGTGAATCAACACGTTGATTCTCGCAGAAGAAGAAAGACATGGTTTCTTCACGATTTGATAGCATCGCACAACAGATACCTTCGGCAGGCTCTTGCGTATCGTCGCGATTTTTAAGATCTTTTCTGTCAAAGTGCGTTCGATATGAAAAGTAAAGGCGAGGTGACGAAGGACGCCGTGGAAGTTACTAATTCCAACAGGGCTGAAGGAGCCGGGCTTAGCCGAAGATCGCCTTCGGGTTTTAGGCTTTCCGTCCCTCTAGCAAGTCTTCGTGGCCTCTAAACCGGTTTAACCGAGCTCTCGTTAACTTCGTTACTGTTAATGCCTGTTGCAATGTGGCTAAGTGGCCATTGCTGCTCTGGGCGTCCTATCCCGAAGCCTCCGATCCTTTCCCAATTACTTCACTACCGTCAAAGTCGCGATTCCATTAATCAATTAACACGAGTTACAAATTTATCAGCGCAAGGTCGTGTCTTCGCCGAGGTGATTAAATATCGTAACTTGGAAATGACTTTTCACCGTTACGGGATCTCATAATTCTTCATTAGGATCTATAATGGGGGCTCTTACACGTGGAGAAAGAAACGATTTGTGCTACCACTGCTGCTGCTATCGCTTGCCGAAGCAATTTATCGATTCGCTAAGCAATTCTCTTTCCTTTAGTTTAATCTCAATCTTTTATACGATAAGATTGCGTATCTGCTAGGATTCAGCTGTTAAGGGCGATTATAATAACGTTGTATATCTGGATTATTCTCATCGCGAGATAATCCGCGTCGTGCATCGATACTACGAGCAGAGTAAAACGGAGTCTGAAGGGTCGCCCTTAGAAATCGTTTTCCGATACGGTGTAGGTAGCGACACGCTCTTCTGTGTACGTGTACTCGAGCGTGGCGTTCGTCGATAAGTCTTACAGGCCGTAAGCGGCCAAAGGAATGTCCAGTTACGTGTACACGGAATCGTTAAAGCAGACGGAGACAGCTGAGCTCTCTCGGTGGCTTTGAGGGTATCGCGCAAATTACGGATCCAAGGACGAGAGCGTTCTAGAAATGCCGCTTTGCGTAAAGCCGAACTGATTGAGTGAGGCGTTTTAGTATGCCATGAGTGCATCGCTCCTCGAGAGCGCACTCTCAAGACCCGTGAAACGGAGAACGTTGAGTCGCGGAATACCGGTGGGAAATTGTGAAGATAGTACTTCGATTTTCTCTTCGTTCGATTCCCTTTACCGTTCCGTTACACGAGCGGATGCATTATAATTAAGAGTAAACTCCCCAGGTTACCGTCGCCTTAATCCTCGTGTTTTACCACTTTACTTTCCGGGCGCGTCGAGTCGAGTGTGTCGAGCGTTACGTAAACGGATCGATTCGTCATGAGTAAAATACTGTAAACAAAAGACGGCTAAAAATGATGTCACCTATGGACATATCGTCGGAGCAAAATTTCCGCATTCGTGTGTGGTTTTTGGCTTAATAAAACGTTATTTCGCTACCAATGATTACCTACTTACTTCGTGACATCTCCGTCAAACTTCTCGTTTCCACCAGCGGAACTCCTTAATTTAGCACGTTCTCTCTTTTAAGGTGACCAGATGTGTCTCGTATTTCCCGATAAAGTTCTGGTTTTCCACTCAGTGTCCCGGATTTCTTCAAATATTATCTGGAACACAGATTTGTCTCTGATCTGGCTAAATAGTCCCGGTTTGTCCTAGTTTAGAACATTTTTAAGATTCTTCTAGCAAAAAGACTTTCTCAAGAAAATTCACAGCTCTAATACAGTAGTTTCACTTCTTCTTTTTAATTTTAAGTAAAGATAACAAACTAACTAAACTAAACTATTATCTTAGTAACAGTGTCTATTTTTTTCTATGCAACAGGCCTTTATTGTTGTTATTTTTCATATGTCTATAAATAAAATATTGTTTTATATATATGATTTTTAACGACCTGCTCTTCTCCCTCCGCTCCACACATTTATAAAACATTCCGGATCCGGCAAATCTTATCTCTTTGGATCTCTCACACTCACTCTCTCATTTTCTCCCTTTCTTTTTCTGTTGCGCGGGGATAAAGAAAAAGGACATTCGGTGCGAGTACAGATATTGCGAGCGCGGTAATGTTATGTATATACTCACGTTCTAGGTGAGAAACTTTTGATTTACGACGCACCGGCCCACCAATAGCGCAGTGCAACGCGGCACAGTGGAAAAGTTTCCTGGAGACCGAGAACGCTCTATTAGTACCATTCGTTATTTTGTTTCCTCCGCGCCGGTTCGTGCACAGAGCGGCCGTGTAAGAAAAGGCCGCGTAAGAAGGGAAGCTCCCGCGGCAGTTCCTGCGCCAGAAGGAAGAGGACCGCTGGAAGGATATCCGCCGGCGGTTCTCCAAGAGACTCGGATAGTTTTTCGTCCCGGAAAACTGGTTATTGATACTGCAGAGGAGCGCGAACTTCCACGGAACTTTGCCCGCGCGCCCGTCGAAGTGCTCGCCGTGCTTCTCTCGAGAGGAGGTGGAGCACAGCGATAAAAACATATTTGCCCGCGCCCAGCCGATGTTAACAACCTCCTCCGTCGTTGCCATAACGTTTGTCACGAGCGTCGCCCGTTGTGTCGTTGCGCGTCGCGTCCGAAAAGCAGGCGAAAACGAGCCACGTATGATCAGCTCCTGGAGAGAGGACTCGCGATTTATATCGGTCGTTCCCTTAATTATCTGTACGCGCCAGTATTTTACGAGAGATCTTGGCTGGCCGCCAACCATCGATTCGCTGCTCTTTTAGACGGACGTCAGTACATATTTATAATCCGGTTAATCGTGCCGTTCTCTGTATTTTAAGACGCGGCCGCTGCGAGACTAGGCCGCGCCCTTGTTCGAAAGCTCGATCTTTGCGAGATTTAGGAAGCTCTTTCTTTCGCGAAGTGTTGGCGCCGATAATCTAGAAAGAATGAATTGATTTTCTTGCTCTCTTGGAGTGAAATGACTTTTCACTTATACAGAATGAATTCTCCACTCTTAGCCGTTCAGTGAATATTTTCACTCAAAATTGAGGAGTGAATTTGATGTATTACATCGTCGTATCACACATACTCATTCTAATCGATTAAGATATTCGCTCATATGGAGTCTTTCGTGTTAAAATTTCACTACAAGAAATTTATAGAGCGTTATTACATTTTCCTGATTGAATAGAACCCATCTAGAATTTATCTCAAAACCTTATTCAAGTTTATTCCAATCTGTCGTCTGGTTTCTATAAAGTGATGTAATCAGGTCTTGATAGGTCATGTAATAATATATCGCGACAATTAGGACCTAATTAATAATAAGGATTATGAATAATTAAGATTTTATTAATAAACAAACACTAAAGTAACATCTTATTACACCTTATTAACATATGCTAGATAACTGATTGGGATCAAGCTGATCAGGACCATGAGATAATTTTTTTGTCGGGAAAGTTATCACTTTATAATAATACAATTTCACGTTTTGCGCGCGCGCGCGTTGTTCACATGTGTGCATTAATGCCTTCTGCGTTTCTGTTCTAGTATCTAAGTGCTAACGGAATGGATACGTCAAGAAATCGAATTAGAAGAATGGTCGGCTTACTGTGGCTCGCCTTCTTCTTCGCTGGAGTCTCGGCAGAGGGAACCCTGGAGAAACTGCACGAAGGTAAGTAATCGGTTAATACTATGGTCTGCGGTAATGCTCACTCTCTGTTCTTAAATAAACATTCTCATCTCCCTTTCTCTCGACTGAGCTTCATATTAAAAGAAAAGGAGAGAAATGAAACGCGAGAGAAGCCAGAGAAGTTCGATCAGTCGGCGTCGCCGGAGACTGCCGCCGCTTCAATTGGGTATCGCGAATATAATGAATCGTCGTTATCGTAACGGCCGCTTAATGCGACGGCACTGACAGCACGGCGGTGTGCTGATGATAAATTTCTATTTAATGTATTGGATATAGCCATCTTTGAAGGCTCGTTAGCGTAATAATCGGTTGAAGGGACGGCTGGTTTTTCGCAATTACACATTTTCCTGCAGAGCGTGCTAAGCTTCTTGATAAATGGTCGGTATTTATTAACGTTCAATTAAAACGCTCGAAAAAAAGTCAAGCGAAAAAGAGGTCATGAATTAATTATGTGGAATTAAATAAAGCTCTCGTAAGCTAGATAACCCGCGGCTCTGATTAAATTTTATAATACAGCCCCGTGACTCAAAAATTATGCAAGATTAACAAATCTGCGACACATACACACATAAGAAGCGGTGTGACATTAACGAATGGCGCGTTAGTCGGAAAAATATCGGAGATGAACACGCGCGCGTACGCGCAATACGCGAGGAACGACAATCGTCTTGTTGCAACATCACAGTCGGTGGCGAGAACACAGGAGAAAACGAGCGTTCGCTCATGAGTGATTCTGATGCGGTATCATCCTATCGATCGGATGAATTTCCTCGCAACGCAAGCGAGCACAGCGTAGAGACGAGAGATAAACGTCTATCTCACTGCCGAGTCCGAGAACGGGCAGACGTGCCGACGAGGCGAGTAGAGGACGATGAAGGCGGCAGAGGCGAAAACGAGGAGAACAGTGGACGCTGGGTGCACCTGAGGGAGGCGACACAGTGAGCAGACGGAAAAGGCGAAGAGAGAAAAACAATGAGACTGAGAGCGGAAGAGAATGGGCAAAGTGGAAGGTAGAGAAGGAGAGAGAAAGACAGGAGGCCCCAGTGTTGCAGAACGTCCGTTAGAAAGCTACTTTAAGGCATATTCATAATGTAGCCACCAACTCATGGCAGCCGTTGTTCTCTTTCTCTCGCGCGCGCTCCGCATTCGCAGCCTCGTTATCCCGATTTCGCACCGTCGCCGCGAGCGCGAAATGCGAGGAGAGGTAACGTTGACGACCGCGAGATACCGTCCGAGGGCACCGTATGATTTAGCCATAAATTCGATCTGCATAACAAGGCGTGGGCCCCTCATGAATAAAGTCATTCGTATTTCGGTATTAATCACGCCTCGCCACACTGTGACTATAGAACACGGCGAGCAACGAAATCGGTTGCGCATTTTCCGCCTCTCTCTCTCTCGCTCTCTTTCTGTCTTTCTCTCTGCCTCTCGCCCTTGGATGCGCCGGCGTTTTAACGAGCTATCGGAAATTCCGATCTTTTAACCCATTCGAGCAGAGCGCGCCTCTCGGACGTTTAATTACGTCCACTGTACTCGTGCGACATAATAATGGCTCACTTGCGCTAACTCACCACCAGTCCGATGCAACCAAGTGGTCGTGGTTCGCGCCCTTTTTCCTACGTTTCCTTGCACTGATAGAACATCTGGAATATTTACGATAACAACGATAACATTTCGCGTGCGCATCTTTTCGTCCTCTTTACCTACGTATTTTACGAGATTACGTAAGCACAAGGGAAAAGTGCTTTTGGAAAAGTGCCTTGTTTTGTATTGTTCAAGGAATAACGCTTTAAAGTGATTTCTATCACTGAAAAGAGCTGTGGTAGCAGTTAGCTGTGATAGCAAGAATGTGTGGAGTAGTTAAATGTCGTTGCACACTGAAATAAAAGTCTTGTAATGGTTAACAAATGTATTTGGTTAAGCGTTTGCAAGTGCAACATTTGGCAATCAGTATTAAATATGTTAATAGTTACGAACCGTTTCCCCAGTAATAGTTAGATAATATATAAAACAAGTTCTTCATTCAGTTGATCCAGCCGATCCAGTTAATAATTATTAAATAATTTGACTATTACTAAAATATTTGGTCATTTCACATATTTATCACATAATGTGATAAATTGATGATATTCATCAAATCTTGACAACCAACCTTGCTAGGATTATTTGTTAATATTTACGAAATTACTTTATTATATTCGCTTTAACTGAAACTATTTCACCAATGCACCAAGCCTTAATGGTTATTATCAAATTTTTTTTCAATGTAACATGTGAAATGTCTAACATGTCTAAAGATATAGTTGCCATATAGGGATCCAATAGGAATTTAGCTGTAAAACCGATGTAGCAGCAACAGTAGCAAAAGTCTTAGTTATAACAACAAACACATCTTCAGCAAACCATGATTAGCTGCGACAGTAAAGTGTAATGTTTCTGGAAACGCAAGGTATATCTGTCGCTGCGATTATAATTAAGAGATTTCGACAAAATCAACCAGAGAGATAGGGATGTGGTTTCGTACGTTATAAGCAACCGGCGTGCAAGTTACAGCGGTTTTACCGAGTTTTCTAAAGAGTTATCTATTGCGGTCGCCGTAGGTAGCCGGTAGATAGAGTATCTACGCTTTCCGGCCGATAGATCCTCCTCCTCTTCCTCCAACGCCAGCTCCTCTCTCTGTGTTGGTCTCTCTTTAGTTCTCTGATCACGAGCACAGTGACTCTCTCTCTCCTTCCCTCTTTCACATTTACGCTCACTCACTCTGTTGTCCGCGAGACCAAGCAAGCCACGTTGCAACTTCCGACTCAATAAGCATCATCTCCCTTGCGCTTCCGACGATGTAGCCTTTGATGTAATACCTATGCCATCACCTGTTTTACTTCTCTATTTCATATCTCCATCTTTTTCGCCATCTTGTTCTGTCCGTTTGTCGTATATCTGTCGACTATTCTATATCATCGTATTGTGTCTTCATTCCTTACATATACTACTGTGTCCAAAAAGTAAGACCAATTTTCAAGTTAAATTGCGCGGGTATATCGAATGTCAAAAATATTTTTTTTCGAAATTGGTAGCACTGTGACAGACATCTGTGTCAAATTATGCGTCGTTTGCGTGAAGCTATTCGCAAAAAGAGGCCGGAATTGTGGAAAGACAACTCTTGGTTTTTGCACCACGATAATGCGCCATCTCACACTGCATTGGTTCTTCGAGACCATTTCGCTAAAAATTCCCATATCGTTTCACAACCATATTCACCTGATTTAGCACCGTGTTACTTCTGGCTATTCCCTAAACTCAAAAGACCGCTTCGGGGACACCGTTTTGACTCGATTAAAGAGATACAAGCTGAATCGAAGAAAGCTTTGAAGGCCATTCCGGAAATCGACTTTAACAACTGTTTCGAGGGTTGGAAAAAACGTTGGCATAAGTGTATTGTGTCTGAGGGGGATTACTTTGAAGGCGACGAAATAGATTTTGAATAATAAATAAAGATTTAAACAAAAAAATTTTTAATTTTTAATTTCTTACTTTTTGGACACAGTAGTATTTTGCTCTCTCTCTCTCTCTCTCTCTCTCTCTCTCTCTCTCTCTCTCTCTCTCTCTCTCTCTC